TATCTTAAATCATTTACAGTAACAACATTCACCATCCAATTAGGCAACTTGTTCCACGTGTTCACCGTGTGTGATTTAAATGAATATTTTCATACATTGAGATGACAAGCAAATTAAGCGTATAAGCTTTTATCAATTGCAGAGTAAGAATGTTATGTAAGCAATGACATATCACTATAAAACCTAAAGTTTATTGTCCTACAATCATACACAAAAGAAACTTAGTACATTACTGCCATCGAGAGCAATTTAATCAGCAGAGCTGAACATTGTGGATTAAGTACGATGATCAGTAAATGTTTGTATACATACTGTCTTAAGGTAGCGGAATAGTTTTTTGGGCACTTTTCACATTTTTTTTTGAAAATCACAAGCATAGCTCCATAAGGCATGCCACATACATTAGTGTATTTATTTTATTGAAAAAAATAATATCTTGTACAAATAAACTGGTTTTTTCCTTGTGTGCAAACAAATACCCAAGTTTTTTGTTTATCCAGTGTACACCCCATGAGTGCTTCTCATTAATATTCATGGTTAACAAACATAACTGAACTGGGGCTAAGCTATTTACAAACAACTGATAAGATATCTGTTTGTAGTTTACACACAGCTGATAAGATGTGTGCACTGCTTCGTTTCAAGAGGAGGAAGCTGTACAGCAAAAACAAAAACAAAAAACACTTTCGAAACACAACAAATTTTGTATAAACAAAATAGTACATGAGTGTATCACATGTTACCGAATTTTGCCATAAATTCGCCCGGGCCGTTTAACGGCAGTTTGGTATTTTTTAAGATTTTTTTAAAAATATTTTGGGAAGACAAATTTATGTTCTAAATGTTATTTTAATAAATCTGTTGTCAAAATAAAAGTACAATGTCACAGTTGGAGATTTTTTATTTTTTTTTATTTCTGTTTGATACATTATATGCTTTTTAGGATCAGATCGGGGGGCCTTGACCCTTACCGAGTTCCGTGTTGATTGACATTCAACGAGATCCGAATTTTAATTTGATGGCTGGGTTTGAATATATCCACTTTTA